GAAAACTGACAGGTGCAATAAATTGTGATGCAAAAGTAGGTAGTGCAAAGTTTATTTGCATGACTCCCAGTCTTACAACACCTGAATGACGTGGGGTCAATCTGCTCCATCTGCTGCCAGCATTTATTGTTTTATATAAATCCAGATTACTACTTGTTTTTGAAAGAGGCTGCATAAAACATGTAAGTATTGAGACTGACATAAAACTGGCTCAGCTAGCACAGTTTTTCAAAGCACAAATTTAAAGCTTTAAGGGATGAATCTCACAATATATATAATACATACTACTCATTTTAAATCACTTTATTAAAATGCCTACTGATATTTGTAGCTTATGCATGTAACTTTTTTCTATCGATAAGTTCAAAATCTATTATTAATTTTCAGTGCATCAGCATTGCAAGTTGTATAGGTCTCTAAAGCCTACACTGCATTTGTGACTACTTGAATATATTAGACATCAAATGACAAAATCATAAGAAGCTTTAAAAGTATGCACAGTGAGAAAACAAATTATTATAAGTAAAATAATAGTGATGGTCTTATTCTTTCAATAAGAAAAGGAAACTTACTGATCCTTGTGCTGAAACACAGAACTGCCCAGTTCTTTGAAAGATATTTGGTTCTTGGTTGTGCCAGTTTGAGAATTTCACCGGGGTGCTATCAGACCACTGAAAGACAACTGGACTGCTGTTACTGTATAATCCAATCCACGTTTCAGTCACATTTTCTAGAAGAGAATGAGATTTTATATTTTAACAATGAAAAAATAGTTCCCATTGTTTTGATAACATCACATCATTGTTAACAATTATTCCCAGGATTTCAGTCAAAATTACCTTCTTTCAGGAAAAATCATTAAATTGCATGAATTTTAGGACAGCTTAAGAGATAATGCTCTGTTGCCCTCTGTTGTTTCAAAGGTAAATAAATATGTGATAAAAGGCTTTGAAAGCCTCCTCGTCTGGCAGGAAGAAGTCAGGACAGTGGAGAGGATGGTGGTGAAGGGGGAAAATGCCCTGTTAATGCAGTATAATGTACTGTCCTGCATCCACAGGAGGATCCACAGCTTAGAGGATAGTTTGGCTGATAAAACATGTCACTATAAACTTTGCTGCGCATGGGGCAAATTCATGGCCAAAATATGAAGTTCTGCCAAAACGATGTCGTCAGCTGGCACAAAATATTTACACCCTTTTGCTCTTGGTATGGCAGAAAAACTCTCGGTATTGCAGCACCAGCAAGACAGCTTTTATTCATTAAGTTTTTAGTGTAATTATATTACCTCTTCAGACAATGTGGACTAGCAGAACTACTTCTTTGATACACCCTGTGCCCGTCAAAGGACATTCTGCCAAAATAGCAGCAGCAGTAAAAAATTTTTAGGTTTTGCAATTAGGTAAGGACAACTTCCGAAGCAAAAGACACAGTTGTTGCTTTAAAGCACAATTCTGGCATAAATACGCTCACTGGATATTTCACAAGAGTTTGCAGGAAAACAGCCAATAACATGGAAAGGCAAAAGCTAAATAGTTGAGGGCTTATGAAGAGGCATACGAGGGCTTTGGGAAAACTGTCTGTTTTACTGTGGAGCTCTGACTTTTGCTATAACCACTGACTGTATCACTTGCCATGCCTCCAATGCTAATGTCACACAATCCAAATAAAGTGTGACCAGCAGCCCTATGTATTGGGGTTACTCGTTAAACATCGCATCAAGCACGGAGCTCTTTGTTGTGTTCCAATACATTTCCTTTGTTTACTTGTTTTTTTTTAAATTTGTTTTTATTATAACTAAATTCATTAGCATAGCTGAACTATAATATTTAAGGATGCTAGACAGAGAAAATATTGTGTTTTCCTTTTTTTAAATGTATTATTTAATGTTAATGTTATATAGCCAACAATGTTAATATAGTTACTTGTTAAATAACAACCTAGAAGTGCATCACAGAATACTTCAAGATAACTAGGCAGTTTAATTCCCAGACTCACCACGTTTAAGCAAGTTAAGGAGCAACTCTGCATCTGCCATGGAGGATATACTGATGAGCCTGCTATTGTCACTCTGGCAGGAGAAAAAAGCATCGCTCCAGCTCTTCTCCTCTTTACGAAGTCTGTAGCAGTTGCGATTATATGGATACCAGCCAGCATCACAACGAGTAGCATAGTACTTCCACATATCTTTGAATTTTTTTAAGTATAAAAGGTTAGAGTAAATCACACAAAATTGCCAAGATTATGTTATGTTCATAATGTATTCAGAGCTTTTTTCTTATTTACAAAAACTGAAAACAAAAGTCATCCAAGATGACTTAAGGAGGACAAAATACACATCCCATGGAATGCCATCTGCAGATGAAACTGAAGTTTCTCCCACTTAGTTTATGACTCAACCATTTGGGCTGTTGTACTGTAACAACAGAACTGTTACCCAGTTTAACACATGTTGTACTTCCCCTATTATGTTTGGACCTGATGCAGAAACTCCAGAAGCCCTTTCAGATGCTTTAGCTGAAAAGTGTTTTTGGTAAGCCCCTTTCTGTTATCTGAAGCAAGTAGAGAAACTTTATTTATCAGGAAAAAGTTGAACCTGTGTGACCTACGCCTATCAAAAATGAAAATTAATATTCTAATAAACAGAATCTTATGTTTAAGTTTCTCCCAGAATGAGAATCTGAGGCATTTTATATACTGTATCTCCTATACACACACTATATATATGTGCTTTAAAAAAATGCACAATGAATTTTTAACATGTGAAAAGTGCAGCATACCATAAAAATAATTGCAAATCTAGAGTTGCATTTATAAAACTTTCTTCTCTATGGACAATTGCTTAATTCTACTTTGAGCTGAAACACTCCCTTTAAACTCAGAAGTGTGGATCCACGATTATATACTGAAAATGAATTAGGTAAGTTGTTTTATTCATGGAAAAAACCACATAAATGCCATGTATATTAGAATGATTTGGCAGTTGTGAGATCCTCAGCATGTTTTCCAGGATTGCATTTGAACAGAAAAAAAGTACTAAAAGTACTAAAAGTAAAAAGTACAGCTAAGGTACATTGCATTCGACTTAAAAGTAGCAAGCCCATACCCTCACTCCAGCTAAGACTCTGCTCTGAAAACTGCATATACAATGTATACTTCATACGTATATGTTCTTCCATGCCCACAAGTAGAATACCATTGAAGTACATTACCACCAAGGGACTTACCCAATGTTTCATGCTGTGTCTTATTTAAATATTTTTTGCATACAAAGGGCAATCCAGATTCACATAAATAACTTTGCCAGCTGTACTTTAGCTTTGAATTTATCACTGCACAATGTTTTTCACTAAAGGCGGCATCAGAGATATCTGCAAACACATGTTTGAGAAGCACATAATTACACAAATTCACTGCTTATTTGTAAAGTTGTGCTATAATACTTTCCACATCTTATTGAATGACTAAATATCCCCATGCATCCAAATTACAGCCATTTTACACCAACTGACCAAAACTATATAGGGGTAGAACCGGCCAGGTGACTGAACGTGGCTTATACATGTGTATCAGTCTTTCCTTGGCTGCTCTTATCACGCAAGTAGCTAAAATAAGTGCTCATGTTAAGGTATATGCACTGGTGACCACACCCAAATATGCAGCACACCAAGTCACGAAGCTCACGTTAATGCAAACAAATTAAAATGCCTTCCCTCCACAAGATTAATTAAAGCATAGCTTTTAACTATGCAACTGGAATGTTAAAAGCCACAATTATAAGTCAATAACAGAAGGGCCAAATCTTTAATATTTGGCACAGCTGCATCTCAACTGATGCCCCAATCCTAGCAAGGGCTCAGTTCATGGGAATGATAAATACTTCTACAAAAAGAGGCACTCCAGTTCACTTGGTTCACTTCTCAAGTGTGGCTGCAGGAGCAGCACTCTTGTATCTAAGCTGCAGTTACAGAGAGCATATAATTACACTGCTATAACTTATCCAAGAGGAACATCAAGTACTTGCTCTCCAGTTCACAAACACTAATGGTGCTCCATCTGACCACTGCCAGCCAGCATCTTCCTCCAGCTCATTCAGGCCTGTCCACAGCACAACGTCTGTGGCGTTTAACTGCCCTGAAAGAGAGAAAAGGAACAAAACCCCTTCAAAAACTACACATTACGCAGACCTTGCCACACAAGCTGCTGCTGACCTTAGCAGTAAAATCTCTAAAAACAGCTGCATAAATGCCAGCCTGTTTCAGGCTTTTATGAGATGTAAAGCGAATGACTGTTAGTCTTTTTACAACCCATAGGCATGTCAAAAACTTAACGATATCATTTTAAACACTTCCTGTTTTCTCGGATCCTGTAATTGAAAATAGACAATAAGGGGAAGCAACGTGAAAGAAGAGACATTGAAACCTGAAGTAGCCTTTACAACATAATTCTATAACGCCTTCTGTTAACTTCGTGCTCTTCACTCACACTGAAGCATATCTGAAAAAAATGCTATCAGAAGATTAAGCAAAATTTGTAAGAAACTTTCTTTACAGGAAAATTTCAGAGAGCTTATCAAAGAAGGATATTGTCATATTCCCATGCAGGAAACTTGCTTTAAGCCTGTTGGAGAGTTCCAGTTATTGCTTACAAGGGAAGTTAGAAGAGGATAACATTTGGATATTATGGTAGATGATAAAAACCAACTTTATGGTAGATGGCAAAGAAAGAAAATGTTTGTGCAGTTCTTCAAACAAACGTGCTTCATAACTTCTGCTATGAGAAAAAAATAGGAATCACTGTTGAGATGGGACTACACATAACCCATACCACCAGTTCTGAATATCAAATATTCTCCAGCTGAATAAGTCAAGCACGTCCTTGAACCAAGTGTTAGTGCTACAAAATCTCTACTCACTGCTTAAGTCACTTATATAGTTCTGTTCTTCGACATCCAGTATGCTCAGCAGATCTCCTCCTTGCATCTGGCACACGGCCCGTGCTTCGCTCCAGGAGAGAGTGGACTGCAGATTGAACTGGTAGCAGACGTGTGTGTCAGGGTTCTTCTTCCAAAAGACGTCACAGCCACTCTCTGCTCCAAAACAGATTAATTACTAACAGCACATACTACCATCAGAAATATAATGCCTATATCATTTAGTTCATTAATGACAGCAAAATCAAAATGGAAACATGTTTATGAACTCCTTTAAAGTTCCTCCGTTAAAGTATATGTGGAAATAGGACACTAGCTATTGAATAAAAATCCGCTCAATTTTTCATATGGTTGATAAATACTCTGTAGCTGATCTGCAGCTGGTGGCAATTTTTACAGCTCTCATGAAGCCAAGAAACTCACGTATAAATTTATACCAGCTGATCATTTGTTTCTAAAGCTCTATTTGGAAACGTCCACACCATGAACACCTCACCCACCTTACAGAGCAGCAGTCATCTATATCTACTACTCAATACTTACTACAATTACATAATACAATGAAAGCTAAAAATACCATCCTTTATTAAGGTTGTCCAGAAATTCATTTTATAAACTCATGTTTTCAGCTGTTTTTAACATGCTTTGCAATGGAGATCTGAAACACTCCATGAGCTGACTCCATGGGAAGCCGTGGACTAAACTCCTTTGAAAACTACAACAACCTATTTTTAATAATTAATATTCAAAAGGATTATATGCCCAAAAATCTTTCAAATAGCAAATACTTTAAAAGCTATTGCTTTCAAATATTTTAGGTCCAAAATCCAAGCATGGTAGTAAAAGTAAAGTAAAAGATCATATAGTCAAAAGCAGAATCCAGTTTTGCAGAAGCACTCTCTTACTTCACATGCTTCAGAGAAGTTTCTATAGATTACTGGGACAGAAAGAGATACAGGCGGTATAGCTGCAGGGTAAGGTCACCAGCCTGCGCAAAACACCAGCACTTCACATGCTTTTTCTCACTCTCTGTAGTTTTGCTCTTGGGATCAGGTCTTGGGTCTCCAAAGGCCAAACATGCTGAATTATGATAAAGTCTGCCTTGAGGTTTGTTAGAGACACAATCCCCTCTAATGGGAAGTAATCTTGTAATCCAAAAGAGCACATACTCCTAGAATTATTAACAAAGGTCAAAGATACTCTTACTTAAGAAAAAGACAATAAGCAAAACCTACCAGCATTTGGGCAAAACCCCCATTTTTCATCTTGCTCATAATGACTTGTTGTGGCACACCAGTCAAATTCTTTTCCATCTCTTGTACATTCATAATACCACTTGTTGTTATACTTAAATGGAAAAAGGCATGGGAAACCAAAAGAATTTCCCAGCAATGTATATGTTTCTGTAATAAATGAAATGCAGAGATTAGAAGAATACATTCCTGAGATTTTTTGTCTCACATAATTTTTGTTTTTAACAGTGACAATAAAAACAAAATGTCTCTTTCACTGTTATTTGCTGATTTTCACTTAGACTTGATATCACAGCATTATTACAATTACTAGCAGCTCAGCTTCATTGAACTGAATTCTGAAATAGGTTTAAGAAATTTGTCCTCACCAAAAAAGGCACAGTCACATGCCTTACTACAGTAAGAAAAAAATATATATATACAATACCTGCATTTATATTTGAGAATAACTACATAAAATGATAGAAGAATCAGAATACGCTTAAATGCAGGTTCTGTTTTTGATTTGTAACTCCAGTATGACAAATACATAATTTAGCAGGATTTGCCCTGTTCCTCCCACTCTTTTTAATGATTTTTTAATGATTTTTCCATTCTCTTTGTTATTCTATGGGAAAGAAAATGTTAAAGACATAGTAATAGTTTTTTTCAAATAAGTTTTTGTATCATGGATAATATAATCTAGCTAAAGAGTAGCTGATGTTACATACCTTTGTTGTTACATCAATCAATGACTATAAATGCTTTAATTCACTAAATACCTCCTTAACCTCAAAGCACTAGCTCCTAGGAGAGGTTAAAGAACCACAATCACACTTAGACTGAAACTGTTTGCCAAAGATCCCGTTCTGATAGCCTAAAGATCAAAGTCCTTTGACTACAGGACATATTGCCAGTGTTCAAGAGGCTTCCACAGTTAACGGCTCTCTGTGCAGACACATAAAAAAAATCAGTTTATACACTGCACAACTCCTTCAAAGCCTTCCAATACTCATACATGACAAGAAGAGCAGAGGTTGAAAAAAAATGCCAGGATTGCATCTCCTTGTCTGCTACCAGGTGTGCAAAGCATGACCCCAGTCCTAGCAGGAGACTAAACTCGATGGCTACAGTCCTCTCTCCATAGTTAAATATTGTTTGTTCTTTGAGAACAGAAATCCCAATCCCCATCTTCGTAGGCTGGCTTCTGTTCACATACACATATGCTAGGGGAGGAGGGAAACAGAAACTGGATGTGAAACAGACTTTGCCAGTGCAGTTAGGTACTTTGGTCCTGGAAGCAGGTTAGTTGAAGGGTCTGCCTGCAGCTGAGCCTCTCTCCAAGATCCCTCCTGCAGTACTAGGAATAAACCAGGTCTGCTTTCATCTCGCTCTGTTTTGTCAGTTTAAAGGCTTTTTGTCATTTTAAAAACCTTATTTCTTAGGTTTAAATTCCACTAGGATTTAGAGAAATGGTCAGATGCTATAGTGTTTTTACAGTTATCAGAGCTCAAAAAAAAAAGAAAGAAAAAAGAAAGAAAAAAAAGGAGACTACTTTAGCAGAGGCCAAGGACAGCTACACATTTCAGTGGAAACCACAGAGGCCAGAGCTTTGCAACTCAAAGAGCCAACTCATGTGGGCAGAGTCAACAGCTCCAGTCTGAGATGGGTTGTGCAAATGTAAGGTCTTTCCCTCTAAAGAAATGCTGAAGGAGAGACTGAACCAAAGGTCAAGGTACAGTGCAGCTGTGTTTCTGTTCATGGTAAACAGGTTTATCTCAGTCCTTATACCTGGAAACTTGCTAAGGTATGCTGGTCTTCAGGAAAAATCCTACCCCCTCGCTAGTTCTATGCTACAATTAATCAAAAGTGTGATCTCTGCCCCAGAGTTTGTCATGTTCAGAGTCCAGGCTTTGAATGTTGCAAATGTAGCATTTAGTTAATAATGCCTGTTGGAATGTCAGGTTGATTTTCAGTGATTTGAATTCCAAATTTTTCTTTTTCCTTGGGTCTGTTTTACTATGAAAGTTGCAGGACAGGCAATGACGTATTAGCTCAGCTTCTTGTTCTATAGAGAATTTGAAGGAGGCATTTCCCGATTTGCAAGTAAACAGGTACATTTCTTGTGTCCAGATAATAGAAGAATATACTCTGTAAAGGGTTTTTCTCCTTTTAATTACTGACATATAAAAAAGAAGAAATTCAGAGTCTCGAACCACAATACAGACTGAAAGTGACTGAAACCATCTGAACTTGCTTGAAAAAAACTTTGGAAACTGTTCCTATATACATTTATATGACGACCTTTTATTTTTACCTTGAAACGGATGTTCACAAAGGTCTTCACCAAGGGACATGTACTGCTTCCATTGATGATTTGATTTCCTTTTTGCCACAATGCGTTTGCTGTTTTCAACAGCTAACTTGTACCCTGATACTCCAACTAGTGCTCTTCCATGGCAGTACCACCACAGTGAATAGTGAGTTGAATCACACTCGAGCATACTTAACAGCTCTTCTGGCCTATTGATGTTCAGTCCTAGGCAAGTACTTCTGCCTATGTTGAAAAGCCGACGATTAGATACCCATTTCCAAAGCATGTATTTTGAGAGTTGATCACAGTCTTCTAGAACAAGGCCAGATGTATCTGCTTTAATACACAGGTTGGAGTCTTCACTTTGGATAATAAATATCCCTTTATCTGCAGAGGAATAAAAGACTTTCAGTTTGTATAATTTTGCATATATTATTTTGGAGACACAAATGTTTTAGTTGGGCCACTCATCAAGAATGATGAAAACATCTATCGAAATAACCGGCACTTCAAAAATAAGAACACATGCCTAAGTTTGTGCTGGCCATGCTTCACTGCCCATTGCATACTAGTGAATTTATTTTTAAAGCACACATATTGAAGTAATTAATGATTTTTAGTATGCACATGGAACACTTTGAAAGTTCTAAGATCAGAAAAATAAGACTAGGTAACATTTCTAAAGCTGGATATCCAAAATATGGGGTCCCCAAAAGCATTCCCATTAAAAAAAAATGCTCACCAAGAAACATTCAGTAAGGGAGGACACAGGTTCAAGTATTACAGCAAGTCCAGCAGAAGTGATACTGTACATGGTAAAATAATTTTCTGCAGAAAGGGAAGGGAGTATGATTGCAATTAAAGGCAAAGCCAAAAAGTTTAAGGCTGAAATTATTATACTCTGTCATATTCATTTTTCACTCTCTGCAACTCTAGAGGCAGAAAACTTACTTTGCATTGTAAATAAGACCAAAAAAAAAAAAAAAGGAGATAGAGTAGGATTTATCTCAGTCATGAGATGTAGTGGTACAGGGTCCAAGTCTTGACTATTGGCTACATATTTACATCCCTACATGACTATCCTGGGCCACACCAGATGTCTAAGGGTCTAGCCTGACATTTCGGTTTTCTTGGAGCTATATAGAACTTCACTTAACTACGTGACATCACACTGTAAGCATGTGAACAAAAGTCAGCTGTGTTAATGTCTTGCGAGCAAATGTTTATTGAGAACATACACTGAAAAATGAGAATATTTGAAGAACTGGAAATTGGCAAAAGATGAGCCTGTATCAGCTTAGTGATATCCTTGAGCCCAAAATCCTGGGGTAGTTAACCCATGCAGCTCCTCTCCCAAGGTAACAAGAAATTTTCTGCCTCATAACATTACTTGTTGAACACCTGAGTAGCATTTTCATTTTGCCTTGAAATTTTACAATGAGGATTTCTCCTCATGTGCTATCTGTTGCAATTCATTAATCCTAGCATCCTGAAGCAGTAATTAATCATAATTATTATAATTATCAAAGGCTCACATCTAGAGTATGAGATGCAGAGATTCCGGGTCTGGTGCACCTACAGTTAGGCGTAGCATCAAAAATGAAGACTTTCCAGCCACAGCAGGACAGTGCCATGTAGCACAGATGGGAGACTGGCATTTCCCAAGCATCTCTGAGCTGCCTTGCACTAAGCTCTTCACTGATGGAGCACAGCAAGAGGCCTTTCCTGTGCTCCAGCAGCCCATCCTATTCCTGAAGCTTTGTGTCTGAACTCAGTGAAAAAAAAAACCTGATCAAGTGTTGTGCCAGACACCCTGCCGGGGCTTCACTTTCGAGTTTTCTTTGAAGTTGTACGGTCAGTGCTGGCTTCCGTCTTCTGAGCCCACCCAGTCCCCCATGGGCACTGCTGGGATGCTTGATATCTACAGCTTACAGGGGCAGAAAAGAGTTTTGCCTCTCATGATAGAGAAGATCTTTCCCTGTTACGGCACTGAAGGCAGCTCCTTCAGCAGTCTCTTGGCTGACCAACAAAGGTCAACCAAGGCAGCTTATTTCCTAAATGAGAGGAAGCTGGGGTGTCATTAGCACTGATTAGTACGTTAATTCAGTGTGGTTTGGAGATTCATAGTTGAAGTTCTCACACAGATGTTGAAAAGAATAGTCCTCCTCTCAACGAGCTTCCAGTCAGCAGATCCCAGCCTGTCCCTACTCTGCCATACCGCACACAGCTGCACCAGAAACGGGATTTTCCACCCTGAATACACAGTAGCATTGGGATATCCCTATCTATAAGGCTTTTAAGAACTGTAATGGGTGCTGAGAAAACATAAGGGTCTTAGAAAGACTATGCAAACAACCAAGACGGAGGGTGCATGTAGCAGCCGGCTTTCCTTTGACACTCATGGGCAACTTTATGCCAAGGATGGCCAGACCAGAGCTTCCGAGTCACACAGTCCCATTTCAAATGTGGCTTCAGTTTCCCAGCCACTCTCCAGCTGTACAAGGTGGCCAGCAGGAAGGCAGTGCTGGCATAAGGATGTCACGAGGCCTGAGGACTCTCTCCCATATTGACTTTTATAGATACCTCCTGGCAGCATCAAGGACTCCTGCACCAAAAAACTGGTGGCAAAGAGCTCCTAGGGGTGGCTCACAAGCCCAAGGCAAAAAGGCACATCCTTCACTTTAGCCCCTGCCAGGATTTAGGGATCCCTCTGGAAGGAAGGGTGTTCCTAGCACCTAAGCATGCTCTGTATAAGGAAAGGTCACCAAAACCGAGGATCCAAAAACACAGCCCCACTCAACCACAAATAGGGAGCGATGGTGAAGGAGCCCCTCCAAGTTCCTGTTTACTTGGGTTCAGCACCGCCAGCGATGACCAAGAAATGTTTGCCAAAGCCAGGAGCAGGACTATGTGCCTTTCCTTCCCTCTCACCTCCCACTTCCTCCCCCAGCACCACCCCCCCCCCAAAAAAAAAAAAAAAGGAAAAGGGAATTGCT